TATCCCTCCCCTGCCAAAAAAGTCATTTTGGTGCAAGACAGGCAATGGCTCAGCTCTAGCTTCAGCCCCAAGCCCAGAGCCATAGCTGGAGCTGAGCTGTGCCTGCCCCAGGATGGTACTCAAATCCAAGACAATGCTTTTTTCCTCCATGCTGATTTGGTGGGGGAGGGGGGGTGGCAGGGGGGAACTCATCTTGGATTTGCATAGATCACAGAAAATGAGGGTTGAAAGGGACCTCAGGAAGTCATCTAGTCCAACCCCCTGCTCAAGGCAGGATCATCCCCAACTAGATCATCCCAGCCAGAGCTTTGTCAAGCCGGGTCTTAAAAGCCTCCAAGGATGGAAATTCCAAAACCCCTCTGGGTAACCTCTTCCAGTGTTTTACAACCTTCCTAGTAAGTAAGTTTTTCCTAATATCTAATCTAAACTTTCCTTGCTGCAACATGAATATGGTATAGCTGTATAGAAGTAGATATTGCTTAGTAAAGCACACAAATTGGAGATATTTATTATACATAACTTTAAATATGCACCTCTAAAATGGGATTTAGCACTCAAGCCCTAGCACAATAATTGTATTTACTCATGTTAATCCAAAGTCAGGCAGAAGGCAGGTATATTTTGTGACTTACAGACTAATTATATTTTACTTTTATAATTATATATTATTACAGACAAGAATTATAGAACAGACTACTTTTTATTAGCTTTCAACAGCATGTAACCAAATAAGCAGTTTGTATTTAGTTCTTACCTTGTATTTTATTCCACGCATGTGCTTCTCCTAAGCAATATGCATCATACTGGTATTGTTCATTTTTATAAAAGTAATCATCAGTACTGAGAATAATTCCACTTGGGTTATCCTCTAGCAAATTCCTATGAAAGACGACATTAAAGCAGCATTTTTCTCTTCATTGTTTGCCTCTACCCATTAAATACACATGCAGAGTCCTGCACACATATATATGGTTTGGTGTGGCCCCAGAAACACAGCCTCTGAGGGAAGCTTCAATCTCAGGGAAATACAGAGTCAATGACACAACTGTCACACTCTACTCAGGCTATAGTCATCCATGGAAAGTAACTGAAGGAAAATAACCTTGCAATGTGACTCCTTCAAATTCTGGTGCCAAATAGTCAAGAGGGAAAGGGAGCCCAAGGAAAAAATAGTATCTGTATCTAGTGAGGTACTTCTGCATCAGTCCCACACAAATTTATATTTGCTTACCTGGCATTATTAAATATCTACAGAAGTCTGAAATGGACTATAACATAACATATGTACAAAAGATCTACCTCTCAAAAGCCTTTGAACAGAATGAAAACTAAAAACTGGATCCTTCAATCTAGCAAGTTAAGTTTGCCCCCATTTAAATGGTGCAAATGAGCTGGAATTTAAACAGTTCGGAAATTTCCCCCCCCTGTGAAAGTGGGATTTTGATCTATCCAAAACTGCCAGAGTTGGCCATGTTCAACTCTACCTGCAGTTATGTCACAAGAAAGTGTAAGGAATGTCCCAGATGGACAGGAAGAGCTGACTGAACTGAACTCTAGCATAGCTGATCCTCTGGTGGCATAAACTCCAATATGAACTTTGAACCACTCGTAAAGCTCAGAGCAGGCCCCCTCCCACATCCAGCAGAGATATCCAGCAAAGACAGACCACTAAGAATTAGTGGCTCAGCTTCCTGCAGCTACAATTACCCACATACAATTTAGACAAAATAGTGAATCAGGGCATAAGCACAACTTTCTACAAATACCAGAACACTCTTCCTGGTTTTTCTCTCTTATTAAATCCTATAATCTGACTGTTAAGCATTTTTTTTATAAGCATACAATATACAATGTTCTACCTTGCCAAAAAAGATTTTCCTGATCCTGGAACCCCTCTGAGAAGAACAAGTACTTGACCTACAAGATGTGTTTTTTTTCTCATCGTGTGACAAACAGATGGCTGGTGTACTTGAGAGAGGTTCATTTTTTGGTTTCCATCTTGATGTCCCCATATCTTCAGAGAAGCATTGCTATCTTGGACATTTGAAACAACTGAAGAGGAAAAAGGCACTCCTTTTCCAAAAGTCCTAAAATCAGAAGCAGGTCTCCACTGTCCAGGACTGATAGCAACTGGAGTTACAAAGCTGTGACTTCCACTTAACGGATATAACTCAGAAGCTATTGGATTCCAAGGAGGCTGATGAAGTTGCTGTGGTGATATAGAAAAATTAAAGTTACAACTATGCTCAAACTGCTGAAAATCTGAGAGATTTAATGGTTTGAAACTGGATCCTTCAAAAGATGTAAATGCATCAGGGATAAAAATGTTTCTATGGCCACTGCATGCAGCTATATCCTTTTCCTGTTGTTCATAGCATTTTGAACTGGAATTTCCAAAAACAGCTGTTCCAGATTCTAGAAGTTCATGGGAGGACTGACCAGAAGTACAGTTCAAACTTTCATCATTGGAAACAACATTTTGCATTTGATCGGGATTTTTATGACCCATTTCCCAGTTTCTTAGTTCAATGATTTCTGGAGCTGCACCATTGTCAGCATGTATATCTGGCAGCCTACAGTCTTTTAATACCCGTGTAAAATTGTCCATGTCAGCTGATGATCTCTCTTTCGTTTGAAGGCTTGATTGACGTACTCCTGGCTGAGGAGATTTGTAACACTTTGCACTACATGTAAAGGAGAAGTTTTCTAACTTTGCATTGTTTTTCTCAGATTGAAAAAGCATGCCATTACAGCCTAATGTGGATTTTTTCCATTCAGGAGATTCAGTAATGGCAATAGAACTACTGTATTCAGTAGCTTGCAATTTGTCCTCCAGTGTGTATTTCTCAAAAGCATTTTGTATCAAAGAATCCAGTTCTTCAGTCAACTGAATATCAGGCGATAGGACCTTTTCTGTTTCTTTTTTTAAATTTACAGGATCTTTTTTTGCAGAACTTTCTATCATTGCTTCATTTGCAAGAGACCTTTGCTGCTGAACAAGAGCTAGAGATGATGCTACTGAATCAAACCCTGAGACTTCTGAAGATGCTACACCGTTAGCAGCTGTAGACAGTTCTAGCAGCCAATCCATTGCATGTTCAACTGTTAAAGTAAAGAAAATAAGATGTGATCAAGAGAAACAACAGATGCTAATTTTGATTTCATTTAAGTAAAGTTTTACAGTCTATATTACAGGAAATATTAATTTGTTATAACAGCATTTAATAAAATGAAGAGAAAACAGAATTTACTATACTTTCTCCTAAATCTCAATAAAACCTAATGCTCACTAGAATTAAAGACTCAACTGAATTTGCACAGACTGCAAAATAACAACACAATATGACTGAAAGGTAGTTAAACTGAGAAGCTAAATTTAACCTTGGTGAGGAAGGAAAAGATTACATTGGATAATTAAACAGACACTTGAATTTAATCTACCTTTCACAGAAAAAATAGAAAGAAATGGACAGAAATAATCACTAAGAGAGAATTATAGAGATACACAGAAAAAAACGTAAGCATAGAAACTGTGTTGTTGCATCCAAGAGCATTTAAAAATGGCATAGCTTAGGGCTGTCCAACTTCTCAGTGGCCAAGGGCCACACTCCACATATTCCACACCAATCAGGGCTGCACATCTTGGAGGCCACACTAGTGAGAGCCACAGACCCCTGGGTTGCATACCCCTACCCCACACTGTGCAAATGGTCAGCCTCTGCCACATACACTACTGCATGACACTGCAATCATGCCCTGCCCTCTTAGGCAGAAGCAGGAAGCCAAAGCTGATGGAGGAATGGGAGCCTAGAGACCCCAGTTGCAGAAGCAGCTAGAGAGGTACAGGGAACAGCAAACCAGGAACCCAAATGCTGCACATTAATCTGTCACAGACTGTGCATGGGCCCCAGGCCACCAGTTGGACAGCCCTGGTATGAAAATCCAGTTAACTGCACCATTTTTATAAAGCTAAAAAACTAAGTTTATAGTGTTAGCAGTTGTTATGAACTTGAAAAGCAACAAAACTGCAAATCAAACTTTAAAGCAATGATTCTCAACCAGGGTGCCATGAGATCCTTTGAAGAGTGCTTCAGGATGCCACACAACGTTAGCACTCTTAGGTGTGCAAATGATTCACAAGATAAACCCAGAGATGTTAAACAAAAATCCATAGTGTCAAAAACCATTCTGACCTGTTATGATCTTTCTGTGCTCTTTGCAAAGAAAGAATTACTGTATTATTTTTCTGCTTTAAGGACTTGGGAGAAGAGCTTAACATTACTAAAATAAGCTAGAACTTAACTGTTTATTCCAAAGGGATATGTAGTTGTTGTTATCTATGTAGAAAAACCCTATTTTAAATTCAGATCCTTTGGCAGGGCTGGGTACATGATCCCTTTAATCAAGAGAAAATACAGGTTTCCCTCGCTTTATGCAGGTTCTATATGTGCAAATTTGCTCTTATGCAATGACCCATTTTATACCAAAAATTTGTTATATGCGAGGTAATTTCACACCTATGCGATCTGTGTGGTGGAAACCCAGAGTCAACTGCTTTGTGCGGTGCATTGTGGGCGTGATAAGCACCAAAATATAGTCTCCTGTGTGGATCTGTGCTCCTTGCTCGTTGTCTACGACATGCGTTTCTGTAGTTGCTAGCCCCATTATGATAGTGCCCTGTGCTTATGTGTACTGTCTGCTGTTGGAGAATACCAAAATTGTCTTGTAAAAGAGGTAGAAATGGGTCTGGGGGGGCAGTACAGTCGAGGTCTTGGAACATATGCCTATTTCTTACATTGTAAAGTGGGTTTCCTTTATGTGAATTCAAGTTATGTGCCATTTTCCAGGAACGCATGTACAGTATAAAGCGAGGGAAACCTGTATTTAGCTTTTCCTCAGTCTATTACGTCAACTACTCAAAACAATAGTTTATGGGCTGATGTACTAATGTAGTCAAAATTCTAATATTATAAAAGACTTAGTCTGTCTGCCAGTAACACTTTACTTGCACTCTGACTGGTTGCTTCGGCAGCCAAGAGTGCTCTGGAGAAAAAAAGGCACATGGCAGAGCACCGCCATAACAGCGGGGACTGAGGGGCCAGAGCAGGGGGGGCGAGGCCAGCAGAGCTGGCCCAGCCCCCAATGCCCTGCTCTTTGGAGGCAGAGGGGGACCATGGGGACCGGAGTGCCGCCACGATGGAGGGAATGGAGTGGGAAGGCAAGGCCAGTCCCCCTCCCGCACCACCCTGCTCACTGGAGTCAGAGGCTGGAGTTCCCCCCACCCCCACAACAG